TGCTGAGAGTTTCTTATTGCCCACATTTTTACTTCTTTCTATGACTAGGCATTCCCACCCTAAAGTGTGAGCAAATGGTCATTTCATAAGTATTTTATTTGTACTTTTGGAGAAGATACAGTTTTTACGAGAAACACTGATTTTTCTCAAACAATAGAAAAAAGGTTTAAAAAAATCTAGAAGAAGACAAGTCTCTTCAGCAAGCACTGGGTGATTCAGAGTGGAGGACCCAGTGAAGCAGAAATTACACATAGGAAGTTCAGAGTTATCCACAAATGTCTTCTTGTCTAGTTCTGTAATCAGCTCAATACTAGGCATGAACACGCTCACAAATAAGGCTCCAGGGTCTCAGTTGGTAAGAAACCCAGGACTGGCTCACTCCCCAGGCGGCTGCATCTGTTTACAGAACTCATCAAACTGCTGCTGCTCCAGCTCTGTCATGACTCTGTTGAGGGCATAGATCTGAAGTGAGAAACAGATATGTTAGCAACAGAAGCAGCTGCTCAGAGGGCCTACACAATAGAGGCCAAGTCCTCTGAAAATGCCAAACTGCAACAGAAGCAGAATGAGCAACAGTAACTTGGGAACAGGAAGGCAGGCAGTAATTCCATCCGGGGAATGAGAAAGAAGCAGCAGTTTGGTCTTTAGGGGATGGTAGGATTTGAACAGGATGGTAAAGTAGAAGATGCTATGTATAAATACAATGGAAAAACACAGGTTCAGTTCTGAAGACTTCTAAGTATACTAATACAGAACATACGGAGTCCAGGGTCAGTGCTAGGGAAAGCAAGGCAATGGAATGCTACACACACATACACACACCCTTTATTTCTTTTACAAATTGAGACATTTCATGATTGTCTCAGTTCTCTAGTGAATAGTTACAATAGAATGTCTCTTGCAGTTTTCTTTCTAACACATTTCTAGTGCCATGGCCTGCCCTTGGCTACAGTGTACTTCTTTCTACATGGACCAGTGTAACAGATGCCTCCTAAGTGCCTGATAACCCCTGCCTCCCGGACCATATACATACACACCCCACTCAAGGCCTCTAGTTATCCTTCCCAAAGCACCAAGGTGTTTTGGGTACTCCCTTGTACACTTACCTTTGCTGATTTTCCAGTCTGCAGATAAAAGTCCAGATCCCTTGGCATGGCATTTAAGGCCCTAACATACTTGTTTGCTTTCTCTAGCTCCCCAACTCCTTCTCTATATTCTCCACCATGCCTACACTCTTATTTCTTTAGTTGGGTAGTTGATATAGAGGTTTTTTTTTGTCGGTCGTGGGGCTTGAACTCTGAGCCTGGGTCCTGTCCCTCAGCTCTTCAGATCAAGGCAAGCGCTCTACCACTTGAGCCACAGCACCACTTCTGGTTTTCTGGTAGTTTATTGGAGATAAAAGTCTCATGCAATTTCCTGCCTGGGCTGGCTTTGAACTGTGATCCTCAGATCTCAGCCACTTGAGTAGAAAGGATTACAGGCATGAGCCACCAGTGCCTGGAATGATATAAAGGGTTTCCTTCTTCCCCTTCCGCTCTTCTCCTTTTTCCTTCTCTTTCTTCTGTGTAGTATGGAGTTTGAACTCAGGACCTTATGCTTCCTTGGTAGGTACTACACCACTTGAGTCATACCACCAGCCCTTTTTGGCTTCAGCTATTTTTAAGGACTGACCACCATTCTCTTACCTGTACCTTCTGCATAGCTGGGATTATAGTTGTGAGCCATCATACATGGCTCATTTGCTGAGCAAAACATTTTAACTTTTTGCCTGGGTTGAACTTGAACTGTGATTTTCCCAATCTCTGCCTCTCAAGTGCTTCTTTGATTTACATACACACATACACATTTTAAAATATACATATTAAAACCACTTCTGCCTCATTTATTCAATAACTAGTGAGCATTTGAAATCTGCATCTCACTTTCTCAAGAGCTGAAAGGGATATTAAATAGCATCTTGCAGACCTTCTGATCAAGGAGGCAAGGAGTTATAGGAAAGGGAAGAATAAAATAAGCAAGAGAAAGAAGAAACTACAAATGCAGAGAGGGTGTATGAGCCAAGGAATGAAAGACTTGGTCAAGAAAGATAGGGTCACTAGCAGTGCCATATGGAAACTGTATCCCTGCCCCTGCCATGCAAGGGGTTCTGTGACATTTTTACTGTAGGAGAGGACACTAGGCACAGGGAGAAGGAAACAGCAAGGCAGCTGTAGGGTGAAGCCAAAGGCAACAAAGGCTTTTAGAGACCTAACTCCTGCACTCTGATCACAACATGGCTTTAAAGCAAGGATAACCCTCTTCCCTCCCCAGGGCATATGCTTTATACATTCCTACTTTATTCCAGGAAAGATTTGGTAAAAGGGGAACATAACACCTGCCTTGGAATGGGTCTGCATGTATTCATTCATGCAGGTGCTGGTTGGGCTCCAGCCTGGCTAAGAACCCAAGTGCCAGCTGTCATTAGAGTACAAGCTTAAAATTACATCTCAGCAAGTGACCATCAACACAACCAGTTGTTTAATTTATAGTCCACAAGAAAAGCACAGACTGAATGCATGGAAGCACAATGACTCCTGATCATAACTGCTGTCAGTTATTGTATATTTTCACGCATACTGTTTTGCTTGTCTTTGTGGTCCTAAAGATTGAACCCAGGAAGGACCTGGAACATCTAGTCAGGTACTTTTCACTTGAGACTCATCTCCAGCCCCCTTTTGTTTCCTTTTGTGCCAGTCCTGGGGTTTGAACTCAGAACCTGGGTATTGTCCCTGAGCTATTTTTCTCAAGGCTGGTGTTCTACCACTTGGGCCACAGCTCTACTTCTACCTTTTTTTTGGGCAGATAATGGGAGATAAGAGTTTCACAGACTTTTCTGCCTGAGCTGGCTTCAAACCATGATTTTCAGATCTCAACTTCCTGAGTATCTAGAATTATAGGCAGAAGTCACCTGTGCCTGGTAGTAGTATTTTGAGACAAGGTCTTGACATATCTTTGCTTGAGCTGGTCTCAAAATCATGATCCTCTTGCCTCTACCTCTCCAGAAACTAGATCACATATCCTCTTTCTGTTCCTTGTAACAGTGAGTGAAACAGATTATCATCCTCATTTTATCAAGAAAGTTCAGAGAGGTTAAGTATCTTGTACAAAGTCACGTGGAAAGAACTGTGAATTGAAATCAGACAAATAATTTTAAACTGTGGAACTTCCAAGGAAGGGTGTCAATAAAGACATGAAAAATGTCTATAGCACAATCTTTATAGTATTCACAGAGGACAGGTGCAGAGGGATGTTTCTCACATCACCCCTCCAACTTTTCACCATAGAACAAAGCAATAAAATGATCCCAGGGCCTGAATCCAGAAAAAGATCAAGACCACAGCTTTTAGACAGTCTGCCTAAGCTACAATGGTGATTTCAGCTCATTAGATTAGCTTCAAACATGCTTTTAATTTATTATGTTAGCTGGAATGTAAGCTTCATAAGGCAGGGATTCTTCTCTGCCTTGTCTGATCCAGTGTCTCAAGTTCTTGTGTTTCTGGCACATAGCAGCAGCTCAATGCCTGTTAACCAGTGGATCTGATTTCAAACAAGCAAACAAAACACTGCCATGGGCTAGACCAAAAGGAAGGAATGAGAGCCTTTAATGTGCTAGTAGGGGAGCAAGATTCCTGGAAGAAATTTGGCAATGTCTAGTAAAACTGTAACTGTGAGCTGAGTTGGGCACCAAAGACTCATACCTGTAATCCTCATTATTCAGGAGGCTAAGATATAAGGATCACAGTTCAAAGCCAGCTAGTACTGGGAAGTCCATGAGACCAGAAAGTCTGTGAGTGGAAGCATGGCTCAACTAGTAGAGCAATAATCATGTTCAAGGCTTTGAGTTTAAGCACTAGTACCAGCACACATAAAAAAGATTCTTGTGCTACTTACTTTGTATTACTTACACATAAAAAAGATCCTTTTTTCTTTTTTTTCTTTTTGCTTATGTGGTGCTGAGGAACTGAACCCAGGGCCTCAGGCATGCAAGGCAAGCGCTCTACCACTGAGCCAAGTTCCCAGCCCCATAAAAAAGATTCTTGTGCTATATCACTTTTAGAGCTCTAAAAGTAATGTAAACAAAATACAATAAACGGAATTTAATTAGCATAGAAAATTTAAACAAAAGTTGTACATTCAAGGATATCAAAGTATTTGAATGTAATAGTATTAAAAAAAACAGTGTTCACCTATGAGGAAGAAATAGACAAGGGGGATTTTATAGTTATGTGTGATTTTTATTTATAAGAGTCCAGGCAAATATGACAAAATGGTAACCACGACCAATTTCAGGGGCTGACCACTAGGTGTTTGCTAATTAACTGTCCATACTTTTTATTTTCCTCAAAATAAACAAAGGAAAATATCAGTGAGGGTTTTTTTCTTTGGGGCTTTTGGGGGAGATGTTAAATATTCATGTCTGGATGTGTTTAAAACTAGTACTGTATACAGTCTAAAGCTTTTTCTTCTTACCCTGATTGTGTTGGAAGAACAAAGGAACCCCCTGGTGGGCTAAAGCAGGCCTTTAACAGGTACTTTTTGAACCCAGTCCAAAGCATGTGCTGGCTGCTTGGACCCTGGTTCTCTCCCTCTCCGATTCTCACCCCTCCCTCACACTAAGCTCCTTTCGCTCCTTTCCTGGGGTCTCTCCCACAGGGCCAGGAGTCATCTGGGGACCTGGCACTGCTTGGAATTCTGACACTAACTTGACATGTGATTTTCTGGATTCCAGACGTCTCCTGTCTCTCCAAATCTGCGAGGAACCTCGTCTTTCCTGAGGGGCAAGCAAGACACCCCCAGGAGAGTTCCTCATTCCCCAGTTTTTCTCTGCCCACGGGCTGCGAGGCACACGGAGCCCCGCCTCTCTCTCTCACCTCTGCTCTTTGTCTCTGCTTCAGCTCCTGCTGAGCAGACTTCTGCTTAGCCTTCTCCACCCGGCTGACAGGTTCCTTAACTTTGGATTTTTCTTTCCGCGCAGGAGGATCCATGGCTTGGCCGCTGATCGCTCCGTGGTCGGCTGACCTGGATGCTTCCGAAAGAGGCAGCTCTCTACAAAGAAGGACCTGCCGGTCGCTCACAATGCCTGGGCTGGGCCCTACCTCTGACAGGTGAGGCGACGCACAGGTGGCAAGACCATAAGCCCTCGGTCCTGCCTCGACCTCCCCGCTCCGCCAAACGGGGGACCACGGTCACTCCCCCGGCCTCCCTGCGACAGCGGCCGCGCGGGCCTCCGACAAGTAGACCCGGGGCAGCGGGACTCCGGGCCACTTGGGCCCGGGGCTCCCCGGGCCTGTCCGCGGGGACAGCCGCCCCAGGGCCCCCG